AGGCAACTCCAGCACTTGCAGGAATCCTATTAGTCGAACACAGCTTGCCCCGGGCAGAGCTGCTTTGGCAAAACTTGCTTTCCTCCTGCAAAATCCAAAAAGAGAACCTCAACTCCTTTGCCAAAGTGCTGTCAGCTCCACTCAAACAGGAAGGCTCCTCTCAGATGCAGTTAGGCTGGGCTCTACCGTGCCAGTGGCTTTGGCTGGATGGAACACCCTTAAAATGCCACGACAGAGATACATACTAGCAGCATGTGTAGCAGTATTTGACATAGTCCCTCCAAAGGTTTATCGTTGGTTTGGGTTGGGCTTTTTGTTTTATTTTCTCTCTTGACTCAGAAAACCATCCATCTCTCTTTCATCATATCAGTCTTTGTTCAAAAACAAAAAGCTGATACAAGATAGTCTCTTTAACTGTTTAGTTTTTTACCTTTTTTAGTTTTACAGCAAACTCACAGCTCTGTTAGTTTTGACAAACTGAACGCACACATATATCATCGCCCACATCAAGGAACCACAAGTCTCCCCCCTACCCCCTGCCATGCTTCCTTTTGTGCTTCTCCCATTTCCAAGGGCAACTACTATGCTATGAGGTTACGTGTTAAATCTACTTTGGATCAAAGAATTCAATATAAGAGCTGAATTTGGGAATCTTTTCTTTTCCTGGGTGTCTGTTTCTGTGTGTAAACCTTTCTCTACTTTACTCAAACTGAGTTTTAGAGAGGAACTTTCCATTTTCTTCAAGTGTTCTATATAATTATTCAATGTTGACCCTTTTTCTTAATAAGAGTTCTTCATCTTAGCCATCACCTCTGACACCCCATTGTACATACACCTATTTTCAGAAGTAGTTATTGGAAAGGATTCTGTTTCTGTATATCATCATTATGCATGCACTCAAGTGGGTGAACTTCTGTTACATCTTTTATTGAATTTCTGACTTAAGAAAACTGCTTTTTATCAAATATCATGTATAAATTTAAAAATAAAGTGTTGTACCATTTCTCTTAATCTTAGCTATACCACAGCATCGTCAGCCATGATACTACCCAGAATCCCATGAACCTCAAGTTCTTAGTATGAGTCAGGTTCTAGACACTTTTTGGCAATGGATCTGGAAACAGAAGGCCCTTCACAAAAGTGTTTAAACAATGTGATCATTTTGTATGAGTGTGCTATGAATGTCAACACTTTTAAGTCACTCTGTGGTGATTTTGAGTTTTTTTCCACCCTAACTTTTGTCATTTCTTTCTGAAAACTGAACCCCATGACAGCTTTCCATCCGTAAACTGCTTTCTGGGAGTGTGTTGCTTGAGTTTTTGCTGTTGTCTTGCTGTAGACTTACCTGATTTATTTACAGTTGTCATGTGCTTCTGCCACATCTACATTGTCACTGTGATGGTATTTTTTCTTTCTGTCTGTTTCTTCCACAGGAGTTTAACCAGTAACCTACCCAATGTGAACCTACCCAATGTGAACCTTCCCAAAGTACCAAATCTACCAGTTAACATCCCTCTAGGCATCCCACAAATGCCTACTTTTTCGGCACCGTCATGGATGGCTGCTATATATGATGCTGAGTGTGTATTCAGTTCACATTAGATCTAATTTAAATTTAAGTGATCTTGGCATGGATATGTATTGTTTATTTCTATACATTCTATATAACAGAGATGAAGATGGATAATTAGACATATTTTGCTGATCATACAGAGACAATATTGTTTATTTTTGGCATACATTGTGTTTGTAAGGCTTTTTCTGTGTATGCAGCACTGACAATTTGTCTTACGCCCACTGAACGCTTGAGGGGCTCTGTTTCACTTCCTGAATTCTTTTCCAAAAGAATTATGCCCATTTTTTTTTTTTTTAATGCAGGTGACATAACATTAGCAGGTATTCATCCGAAAACAGTACAGGAAACCTCTTTAATGAGCCAGCCAGTCATCTCTAACCCGATGTAAATCTAAGGGGAAAACATACCTACCTAGAAGCTTGTTTTTTGTTGTTGTTTTTGTTTTCTCTTTTAAATAAATAAATAAACTCCTAGAGACTAAGCCATAAGTCTTATTTCTGGTTCGGGACTAAATGAAGACTTCTGAGTGAATCAAGCCTTAATAATGCAAACATTATATAAAGATACTTTCCAGAGTCAGTGCAGTGTGGAATATTGAGAGCTATCTAGGCACCAGCCACTCCCCGGAAGGAAGGTTGGGCAATCTACTTCCATAGTGATACCACCTCAGAAACTCAAGGAGGGGTCGCTGTGAGTCTGGTCATAGCAACCTTTTTATCTAGGTACCAAGAATGTCTCTAAATTTGAGAATGCAAGATTCAAACAACAAAAAATTAAAAATTTTGGTAGTTGTATCATCTGTGGTCTGAAAGCAGGAATTCACAGGGTAATTCTCCTTGGAGTCTGCACCATAGCTTTAAGCTAGCCGTTTTGGGGTGAGAGAGCTGAGTAGTCATTGCTTCTGGCTTAGGAAACAAATCCTCTCTCCTTTTTTCTTTAGCGATAAGACAATCCAGCACCCCTAAATTCTACCTTAGGAAAATTAAATTAGAACCACGTGCATGATTTAATAAGTGAAATAAGGTTTAGTGATTCTATACTCTCCTTTGATCCTTTTCTTAGACCACAGCTAATTATAGGCCAGATAAGCTTTTTCTTGAAAGAATAAATTGGCACATTTTCAAAGGGAAGTGTTATTATCAAAGGAATAAAAAATGATCTGAAGCTGGCAGTGATGTTTTGAAATCTTAAAATCACATCCATCAAGATGGCCCTCAGCGATTTTGTTTTTTCAGTGAGCCAGGTAGAGAACAGGACATTTACACTACAGCTCTACCTGGCTTCTCCAAAGCCATCTCATATTTTTAACAACCTGTGTTTGTTTGAGAGATCACAAAGAAATCATATGATCAATGTGTCTGATTTTCTTTTAAAGACAAATGAAAACCTCCAAAAATTTATATTTGAAAAAAATTCTTCTGAAAAAAAAAAACATGATAAATCATATTCATGCTAAGATGACTATATTAAAAGTTAGATTAGGTAGTATCTGTTAAAAATTATTTAAAAATAAATATCTGAAAGCTTCTTCTACCTTCCTCTGTGCATGCTCTGTGACATTGTTTCTGAAAAGATATGAATCAAGACATTATAATAGAGCAGATAATGGTCTCTGTTCAATTAATTAAGGCATGAGTGGGAACACATTTTGGTAACTGCTCAGCAATCAAAATAATCTTGGTGCTATTGCCTTAACATTAACAGTTTATCTTAAAAATAAAAAGAAAATATTCTTTTCCTCATGTCAAAACTTAATAATAAGCTCTTCAAAGAAAAGGAAAAAAAAAAAAACCTAGAAGAATTTTTTGAAACTCTGAAACCAGATGGGTGTCAAAATGTTGTTGTAATAAATACCAATTATTGCATTCATATGTACTTAATGATTTAAAACATACAGCCATGCAGTTCCAAAATGGGGCTTCGATGAGATAAAGTTGAGTTTTCTTTCTCCCAAGCTTAGGACGGGGTCAGGGGAATGCTGAACTTTCCCAGGGGGACAGTGCATTCCCCCACTTTTGAACAATGCTTACAGCAGTATCTGAGAAGAAGGCATGGATTTTCAGTCACCCACCAGGAAATGCCTGATTCTATATCTTTTCATAATTCCAGTTTCCTTCTTTGCCACCTTTCATTTTAAGGACATGTTTCCATGTTACCTGCTCCTTCGTGTCAGATACATCTACGTACTGACCTCAGACTGGTCTGTCCTTGAGAGCATCACCCTGTTGGTCCAGGCCGTAGGGTCCCTCTCGGCATGTTGGGAGTTTGCCCCCTCCCCACCCTGCAGTAGCTGTGTATGCATTTATGCACTAGCTATATTTCTCTCTGAAGCATTAATTCAATGCAGCTGGCATCTGTCACAATAGAAACACCCACTCTCATCTGTTTCTATAGACGATGTCAGAACAAGTGGTAATGCATGGTGTGTTGGACATTTTATAAATTACCGTGTTAGCATTAGTGGTATGCGAGGAAGGGGGTGGGGGGAGGCCACCCCTCCGAGCTCCAAATGAGATTGTTACAAAAGAGAAAGCCAGCCAGAGGAGGGCAAGAGGGTGAGAGATGGAGCTTTCCCTGTGCACAGGCTTTCCATGGACACCCTAGGTAAACGTTTCTTAGATGTCGTTGTACAGAAAGGAATCAAGACCAATGTCTCCATCTGTACAGAGGAATGGGTAAGATGGTGCAACGGTAAAAGAGCTCAAGTTTTGAGCCCTAAAGCATTGTAAATATCCCTTGTCTATTCACCTCCCCCCGACTCACTTCAACCTGGGGCTGCCTTTGCAATAGGCTGGTCTATGAAAATTGGAATAACCACCAAACTGAGCAAGAATCTTGGATTCAAGGTATCCAGGTGTGCCCATTTTGATTGAGTCACCCCTGTTTTTTCCAGCTCTTCAAGAGAGAAAGCAGGTCCTCGCTCACCACTTTGTTAGCACTGTCCTTTTGAAATTGAAAGTCTTTTGCATTCTCCAAGAGGCCTCCGCTCTGGAGGGAAGCCGGGGAAATGCATGAAACCCTGAGTTTTAATAACTGCATGTTGCCATGTAGTTATTATCCGTTGAGAGTTATTTCTCCTCCTGGTTTGTGGCCTTCATCTGAATCATCACATGTGTTAATGTGGTTATTAAAAGAAGGCTGATTTTTACCATACACTGTCCTCTTACTTGTTTGGGGGCAATACCTCCTCAGACTTCTCACTGGTCTGGAATAATTGGCCAAGTAAAGTAGAATAAGTCATGTATGGTAAAACTCAAAATCTGCTGGTGGAGATTGCCCCCACCTCTACCGCCAACACACGTCGTTTTGTATGTGGAAGCCACTGTTTGCCTTAAGCCTTCTAGACCCAGTTGTTTCTGTGTCAGCTTTTTCAGAGCCGGAGGTCAGTGGGTAACTCGTTTTTTTCTGATCTTTGTCCTGCCAGCAATGGATCGGGCACGTCAGAAGATCTGTTCTGGAAACTTGATGCCCTTCAAACCTTCATTAGGGACTTGCACTGGCCCGAAGAAGAGTTTGGGAAACACCTGGAACAACGGCTAAAGCTGATGGCAAGTGACATGATTGAGTCGTGTGTCAAAAGGTAAGCATAGGTGGCTGGACAGGTTCTGCATGTTTTCTCCACTGTACACTGATTAGGGACGACTAGGTGGCCACTCAGTCAATTGGCCATAACTTGGAGGTTTTGGAGAAGGCAATTGCTTGTCCAAGTCAGCTGAAGTGTAGACTGCCCAAGTCTAGGCTCTGTCTACCTGCCTCTTACCTGTCTCAAATCCAAAACAATCTGACTACAAGTTTTTTAGTGGTTGTTGGCTCCACGAGGAAAGGATATATATCCATTGTTCATCTCTATAGCCCCAGTATCTGGGAGTGTTTGGCATGGATGGATGGTTGGATAGAAGAAAGAGAAGAAAATGCAATTCTAGAGGTAGCATATCCAGTGCAGGTAAGCAGGAATCTAATGATTTACCAGCAATGTAGACAGGACTTCAGCATTGTCATCCATCCTATAATATATTAATTGAGCACCTACTACGTGCCAACTCCTAATTGTATTGCCCAAAATTTAACTAGGTATCAACAAAGGGATGTGAGATACTGAACACACATTTTGACATTCCACAAATTGCCTATTTTGTCACTGTGACATGTTGTATTTAGGTGGGAATGCTGCACTTGAAGTTCCCAGGCAGATAGATAGTTCTCAAAAGGTGCAGGGAAGAAAATGGGGACAATATGCATCCATTCAACAAAAATTGTTTGAGCACCTTCTATACACCAGGCACAGTGCTAAGTTCTTGGCATATGATGAAGAATGGGAAATTACATCCGTTCTCTCCTGGAGTATCTTTATCTATTTATAAGATAAAGAAATGAAATTCCACTCATTTAACATTGTCATCATCACTCTGTCTATCCCCAGACACATGTCCAAGTTCCTTTTCCAATTCATAATGGTTTCATTATTTTTCTCATTCAAAAAAGACCATGAACAGCTCAGGCCACTCCAAATGTTGTGTAGTTTAGTTGATGGATCACTTGCAGGTGATGGGGGCTGGGTTTGGCTGGGAGTGCTCTGAATTCATCATTTCATATCTTGGAAGAAGAAAAGAGAAGTAAGAGCATCAAAACTGGAAATTCAAAGGGCAAAAGAGCAACCTGATCCCAGGTAAGTGAGTGTTTTGGCAGGATTTGGGAAAGGAACTATGTGCACTGGAGAATATAAGCAGGCATTTGATGCCAATTATGAAAGCTTAAAGCCCTAGTGATTCAGATTTTGTGCTTTACTATAGTCTTCCCATTTTTAGAACTAAAGGCAGGACTGTTTCTCAAACCCAAGGTCACAATGTTTCCTTAGAGCTCTGAATCTCATATGTAAAACCAGGTGCCATTGAATCAGTTCTGAGTCATGGCAGCTCCATGTATTAAAAAATAAAACAAACCAAAACCACAGCCATCGAATTGGTTCTGACTCTTAGCAACCCCTATTGGTTTTCCAAGGCAGTAAATGTGGAAGTAGATTGCCCCATCTTCTTTCTGAATCCCGTGTATAGACTCTATCAATTTCTGGAAAAGCAACTCTCTTTTCCTATTGATCAAACTATTCTAAAAAAAAAAAAAAAACTTACAGGACAGCTCCCTGATCTGTTCCAGGGGCTGATATGCATTAGAATTAAGACTTGTTTGTGGACATCTTTTGATCTGGTGCACACATTTACACAGAAAGACATTTACATCCTTCTCTAAGAAGCCAGACTTTTGAGAGTGAGAAATAGGGAGATGCTTAGAGAAAAAGGGAAGATGGTGATGTCAAAGGTGACAGTGACTCTGTTTTATCCCTTATCATACTGTAATCATATCTTTCTGAGTTAGCCAGCTCAAAGAGTGTGAGCACCCAGAGGCAGGGAGTAAATCGTATTTGGTTTTGTGCCCTTTGCTCTCCCCAGGTCTCAGCACCATGCTTGGCATGCAGCAGCTGTTAAGTAAGCTTTTATTGACAGAAGTTGGTCAACTACATATGTATTCCTCTAGCTGGCTAGACACTTAAATTTCCTGATGTTCCTTTCAATTAAAGCCCTAAATATAAGCACAAAGCAAAAATAGGTGAAAATATCAGCCCCAGATCTCCAGACTCAGAGGGAAGAATATGAAGATGTCCTTGGACATAGAATGTGCACTAGGAGAGCCTAGAATCCATGCTTTCCTTTTTGGGACTGAATAAATACCCCTTGTTCTAGAAGGACTGGACATTGTTTCATAGATGTAAATTTGCAATGTCAAAAATTTAGAAAGGCACTTGTCATTTCTAAGTTTCATCATTCATTTAACAGACATTTGCAGAGTCTCCAGTGTAGTCCCAATCCGGTACTGTGCTGAGAACAAAACAGCCACCCTGACTCTACTCTCAAGGATAGCTGGTTTTATTAAGTTACCTCTCCCCATTCCTGGCTTTTGAACGTCCCATAGAGAAATAGTCAGTGCATATCAGCCCTCTCAGACACATTAATTTTGCGTTGAGCTTCCTCTCCCCACAGCCCCATGCTCCAAGGGCTATGAGCACTTCCCCTGTGAGAGCAGAAGACAACTGTTTCATTGCGAGGAGCAATTTATCATTTCTCAAATTGGCCAGACCTGGCACATCAGCTTCAGAAGATCAGTACAGGAAACTGTTCAACACAGTCCTCGTCAGTGACAACACTATAAAACAAAGCATTTGCAGCATAGAGTAAAGTGATCTCCATGATTAGAAAGCTACTTCAGTGCACTGAGTCTTTAGAAACCAAGATACATGTATCTCTTAACATGATCATATAATAAGGTGTTATAAGGTCCTTTTTTTCTTTTTTTTGAATTTTTTTTCTTAAGAATTGAGCTTCCAACCTTAGAAATTATACTTGGCTTCCCTGCACATACCCAGGATATGTTAGCAAGCTGGAATGCTTTCTGAGCTCGCTAGCTATGTGGTCCTTCTATGCACTGTTAGAAAACCATGAATACCTCTTAAAGTGGGTGCTTTCTGGGTAGCTGTGTCATTTCCAGGACTTGACAGTGAACAAGGCTACAAAGATGCATTGGACCAAAAGAGGCTTTGTAAAGCCACTTACTACTAGGATGTTTTTTTTTAAGACAAGTGATGATGTGACCCATTTCTCTGAAACCTTTTAAGTTATACCTGGGCCCCTTTATAATGGTAATATTGAGGATTATACACCTGTATTACGAACTAGCTATGCTGGGGTAGGTTTTTTCTGTGAATGTTTAGTGCATTGCTGGTGGCATACTTTGACCTGACAATGTCAGAATTGGAATCCCTGAGTGGTACAAATGATTAAAGCACTCAGCTCTAATAGAAAGTTTGGAGGTTCAAGTCCACCCAGAGGCACCTTGGAAAAAAGACCTGGTGACCTACTTCCAAGAAATCAGCCATTGAAAGACCTATGGAGCACAGTTCAAGTGTCACACACAGGGTCTCCTTGAGTCAGAATCAACTGGACGGCAACTGATTACTGGTACTAGTACTGTGTCACAGTTATACATGTTAGGATTACACCGTGACACGATTATTGAATTGGTAAATAGATTATGACATTTTTAATTATAAAAATAATATATTCTTTTTGCAAAATAATACATCTTTGACATTGGAAAAAAAAAAAAAACATAAATTTCCTTGATACTCCTCTTCCTGTTTTCCCTCCCTTCTCCAAAGCTAACCGCCTTTAACAGCTTGATCTATCTCCTTTTGGTTTAACAAGCAAAAAAATATTTTTGTAGTCTTTAAAGTAATATAATAAACTTATTGGATTGTTTTTTATTTCAATCTCTTTTAAAACCAGAAAGAATAAAAGCAATAAATGTCACTTAACATTTTTTCTCCTCACCATGAGGTTTTGGAGATTAGAAACTGCTTCCCCCACCCCCACCCCCACCAATGAAGTGATTCAAGGTAGGCAGTTGCCAACGTGAGAGAACGTGCACATGCTATAATGCTATAATCGGGTTTTTGTCCATTCATTCATTCTCCTGCAATTATGGTTCTCCATAGCATGAAAACTATAGACAGAAATACGCCGAGCTACAGGTGTTCCGTGTGCTGCCGAGAAAGGGAGGGTTTACGTGGCTGCCCTCGTGAATAGGCCTGCCATAGTTGGGAAAGCCATTTAAAAGAGAACACATGTGAAGTCATTGTCGATTGAAACTGATTACAGCCCTCAATTTTCTTTTTCACTGACCTCTCGGGAAATGTCTCCTCCACCTGCTGCCATCTGAATGCTGAATTGGTCTTTTCCTACTTTGTTTTAATAGAACCAGGATTGCATTTGAAGTTAAGCTGCAAAAAACCAGTCGATCAACAGATTTTCGAGTCCCACAGTCAATATGCACCATGTTTAATGTTATGGTTGATGCCAAAGCTCAATCAACAAAACTTTGCAGTATGGAAATGGGCCAAGAGGTAAAAAAAAAAAAAAAGAAAAGAAAAATGTCATTTCCCCCTCCATTAATCATGTAGAATCTATCTTAACATATCCCTTTCATCTACTAAATTCAGAAATATACATTAACATTTGTGGATTAAGACATATATACAGTCTGCAGATGAGTGTGTGGTATCTGTTTGTCACATAAATTTCTAAGACATGAGCTGGTGAGAATGCCATTTGCTTGGAAGTGATCCTTGGCTGGAGTTGAGATGGCCACAAATTTCCTTTAAGCCAAATGGTGTTTGACGACCTTTTTTATTAGACTGGTATCGCTAACAGATCTGTGTTTGCCAGAAGGCAAGTTATTTGTATACATGAGGTACATGTTATCACTTTGAACATCTGGAAACAAGATCTTTCTTTCTTGCACCTGACACCTTCTGCAACCTATCATGTTAGATGCCCCTGCTACAAGTCCCTGGCCAGCAGGTTCTGGATTTCCAAGAAATCATAGAATTTCAATTTCTGTTAGATTGAATTGATTGTGAAACTTCCCTGACCAAAAGTTTAGTCCTTTGCTAAGTTTCCAATTCCAAAGGCAGTATTTAAAATGTAAAGGAGAAGGAAACAGCAACTTGGGCTTCATTAAAGACTATCATGATCATTTTTCTCTGATGGCCTTAAGCCAGCTAGATATTCATATACCAATTTAGAATTAATTCAGAAACATTTCTGGCAACTCTCATGTTGTTGCCAATTGGCATAAATTGCTCCTAAATCAGATCTTTCGATACCAGCCTTACATGCTCGGAATTTTTACTAAATTATATTTGCTCCTTATTCACTATTTATTTTCTCTCTCGGCACCTTCCAGTTTTAAATGTGGGTTGCTGGTATTCTCTTCCTGGCAAGATCATCTCCAACTTTGTTTTCCCCCAAGTCATTTCCTCAGCCTCCCCCAGTCAGCTTCTGCTCCTGACTAAATTTCTTGTCAGGGACCTCTTCTGGGCATAACATTCTAGACACCCAGATCAAGTACACGAGGCTCCTTGCTTCTGTTTCTTAGACCCATTTGCTGCATTTGAACGATGTGGAGCAAAGGTTCTCAAATTTCAGTGTACGTCAGAACCATCTAGAAGGCTCCTTAAAACACAGATTGTGGCGCCCCACCCAAGAGTGTCTGATAGATCTGGGATGCAGCCCAAGAATTTGCATTTCTGACAAGTTCCCTAGTGATGCTGGTCCGGGACCACACTTTGAAAGCCAGTGGACTGGAGGCTTAGTGACTGAGAATGTATAAGGAGTAGAGTGTAAGCATTAAGAACAAGTCCTAGTGGAAGGCCTAGATTGGGTGTCCAAACCGTGGATTCTTGCCCTGTCTATGCTGCAGACTGGAATTGGAGAAGTCACTCAGTCGGTTTCTTTGAGCCTCAGTTTCCTCATCTGTAAAATGATAGCACTTTCTGGTTTTATTCAGGCTGTTTGTAGCTGCAGAATTCGTTCTTCACAATTTACCCAGAAGGCCATCCGGTGAAACAAATAAATGTAGGGCTGCTCTGAATGGTGTGGGGAAAGGGAGTTGAGGAAGAGAGGATCACAAGTCCAAGCTGCTATGTTCCTCCCTACCTCTGCACATCTTCACTGTCCAGCGCCTACCACCCACCTGAACTTTCTGGAGGATTCTGAATAATCCTTTAGGCTTCAGAGAACTCACTTTAAAAACTCTATTTTGGTGCTCTCTAAAATTCATTTAAGATCCTTTTCAGCTGAAACTTTTCTGAATTCTCTCACTTCTGGATTTTTCTCCCCTTGGAGCTTCTGTGTGTGTGTGTGTGTGTGTGTGTGCGTGTGTGTGTGTGATATAATTCACATACATGATGAGATAAAATTCACATACCTTCACAAAGTTGTGCAACCATGACTACTATTGAATTTCAGAACATTTCATGACTCCAAAAAGAAACCTTGTACTCATTAGCAGTCCCTTCCCATTCATATCCTTCTACCCCCTACCATCCTTAGACAACAACTATGTGTAATCTACTTTGAGTCTCTAAATATACGGCTATTCTGGACATTTCATATAAATGGAAGCTTAATGTGTAGTCTTAGTGTCTGGTGTCCTTCACGTGGCAGATGTTTCTAAGATTCATCCTTGTTATAACATATGTCAGTTTATTTTTATGGCTGAATATTTCATTGTATGGGTATACCACATTTTGTTTAACCATGCGTGAATTGATAGACATTTGTATTATTTCCATCTTTTGTCTGTTATAAATATTGCTGCTTTGAACATACATGTACAAGTTTTTATGTGGACCTATGTTTTCCATTCTCTTGGATATATACCGAGAAGTGGAGTTTTTGAGTCTTGTGGTAACTCAACATAAAGAAAACAAAAACTTCACAACTGGACCAATAAGAATATCATGGTAAATGGAGAAAATATTTAAGCTGTCAAGGATTTCATTGTACTTGGATCCACAATCAAAGCCTATGAAAGTAATAATCAAGAAATCAAAGAATGTATCATATTGGGCAAATCTGATGCAAAAGATCTCTTTAAAGTGTTTAAGGGCAAAGATGTTACTTTGAAGACTAAAGTACACCTGATACAAGCCATAGTATTTTCAGTAGTCTCACATGTGATGGGGCAATCTACTTCTGTAGTGATACTGCCTCGGAAACCCAAGGAGGGGTCGCTATGAGTCGGGTCCGACTCGACGGCACACAACAGCAACAACAACATGTGTACATGAGAGCTGGACAATGAATGAGAAGACTGAGGAAGAATTGATGCATTTGAATTGTGATGTTGGTGAAGAATATTGAATGTTCCATGGACTGCTAGCAGAACCAACAAATCTGTCTTGAAGGAAGTAGAGCTGGAATACTCCTTAGAAGCAAGAATGGCCAGTCTTTATCCTCGTACTTTGTTCATGTTGTTGGAAGAGTCTAGTCCCTGGAGAAGGATGTCATGCAACTTAAAGTAGAGGGTGAGCAAAAAACGGATGACTGTCACCAAGATGGATTGACAAGTGGCCTCAAGCATGGCAACCATTGTAAGGATGGCACAGACTGAGCAGTGTTTCGTTCTGTTGCCCATAGAGCCACTCAGCGGCACCTGGCAACAACAACATGGTAACTCTGTGTTTAACATTTTTAGCAACATCAAACTGTTCTCCAAAGAAGTTGCATAATTTTACATTTCCACCAGCAACACATAAGGGTTCCAATTTCTTTATATCCTTACCAACACTTGTTAGTATCTGTCTTTTTTTTTAATTATTATTACACCCACCTCTTTGTAGTTTTGATTTGCAGTGATATTGATTGAGCATCTTTTCATGTGCTTATTGGTCATTTCTATATTTTCTTCTTTTAAAAAATATCTATTTAAACCCTTTTCCATTTTTAATTGTTTTTTTTTTTGTCTTTTTAATTGTAGAATTATAGTGCCTAAGGCATTTGACTGCTAACCAGAAGGCTGGTGGTTCAAACCCACCAGCCACTCCTCGGAAGGAAGATGGGGCAATCTACTTCCGTAGAGATACTGCCTTGGAAATCCAAGGAGGGGTTGCTATGTGTCGGGTCCAACTCGACAGCACATAACAACAACAACAACATATATATTCTGAACACTAGATCTTTGTATTATATATGATTTGCACCTATTTTCTCCCATTCTGTAGGCTGTCTTTTTATATTTTTGATGGTATCCTTGGAAACACAATTTTTTTTGTTTAACTCTGATGAAATCCTATTAATCTTCTTTGCCTAGGACCTCCTTGAGATGGCCATGTTAACTGAGTTTCACAAGTACTTCTTTCCAGAGTAAGGAAGAGTGGATACAATAGGGATGGCTTCCTTTTCCCCTCAGCAGTCCTTATCATCACTCTCTAGATTAACTAAATTATAGCCATATTTAAAAAGTGCCAGCACACCTGTTCAGAGAGCTGAATAATTCTTTCAAACAAGCCAAGTCAATCTCATGTTAACTCTTGTATTTTTGAGCTAGGAATTTGAGGAGAGTAATGGGAGACCACTCATCTGGTGTTTGCATGTGACTGTGATGCCAGAAGCTATGTTGCCAGTATTTCAAATACCAGCAGGGTCACCAATGGGGACCGGTTTCAGTGGAGCTTCCAAAGTAAGACAGACTACAAAGAAGGATGTAACCAGGTCCACTTCTGAAAAAAAAAAATGGTCACTGAAGACTTATGAATAGCAGTGAAACTTTGCCTGATATAGTAACAGAAAAGGATCCCCTAAGTTTGGAAGGCATTGAGAATACAACTGGGAAAATGCTGCCTCCTCAAAGTAGAGTCGACCTTCAACATGTGGATATAGTAAAGCTTTCAGGACCTTCGTTTGCTGATGTGGCACAACTCAGAATGACAAGAAACAGCTGTAAACATCCATTAATAACTGGAAAGTGGAATGTACGAGGTATTAATCTAGGAAAATTGCAAATCGACAAAAATGAAATGGAGTACATAAAGATCGATATCTGTGGCATTAAAGAGCTGAAATAAATGAGTACTGGCATTTTGAATTGGACATTCATATGGTCTGGTTATGTCAGGAATGTCAAATTGAAGAGGAATGGCACCATAATCATTGTCAAAAAGAATATTTGAAGATCTATTATGAAATACAATGCTGCCAGTGATAGGGTAATATCAATACGTCTACACGGAATACTAGTTATGCTACTTTTATTCAAATTTATACACCAGGCACTGAAGCCAAAGATGAAGAAATTGAAGATTTTCACCAACTTCTGCAGTCTGAAATTGATTAAACATACAATCAGGATGCATTGATAATTACCAGTGATTGGAAAGCGAAAGCTGGAAACAAAAAAAAGAAGCATTGCTAGTTGGAAAATATGGCCTTGGTGATAGAAATAATACCAGAGATCAGATGATAGAATTTTGCAAGACTAACGACTGCCAATACCTTTTTTCAATAACATAAAAAGCAATTATACACATGGACCTCACCATATGGAATATACAGGAATCAT